TACGATGCAAACAGCTGTTTAAATTGTATGACAAAAATGATACATTTGACGTTATATAAAATGTGATTATCCAAGATGTATGTATTCATAATATTATGCAATTTTTGTCTTATCAAAACTAATCAAAATTGTAAAGCGACGTGGGGTATTGCTCTGGATTAATATTAGGAGGAATTTGACGTTAAGTTTGATTAAGGATTAAAGTTTTATCTCCGCTAGTTGACATTTAATTTATATTCAATCGTGTATAATATTATATTGCAAAAATGTTTCAAAGTATGTTATTTTAAATATTAAAACTTGATATAAATAAATGAGAGAAATTAACAATTTTATATATAGAAACGATAAAGAAAAAACGGCATTTTTTATCAAATGCAACTAAAATGGCTTTATGTTAAACTTAAAAAATTGACAACACTACTTTTTGTTTTATAAAACAACCAGGTATTGTATTACTATATGAATAATGAATAATTCATGATCGATAAACAATGAAATCAATAAAAAAAAATTCTATTTTTTCACTAGTAAACATTTTTGATTATCTGAAATTACAACAAGTTTTCGTTTTTCGCTATTTGAAACTGTGGATTGCTAGAACCGGGCTTTAGACATATTTAAGAAATATTATTATAATACATGTCTGTTCATAACTCGGCGGCCGCTCCAGCTAACATTGTATTAAGTAACAAATAATTACCAATTTCTCAGAAAATATACAACTATTTATCACACATGGTTTTCTAAATCAGCGGTTAAAGTTAATTCAAATGACCATTATACTTAATGTCACTGAAATCTTTCACTTCTCATCAGCATTAGTTTTCAAAACTTATTTTTCAACGGACTTGTTGAATAAATCAGCTACATTTCTCTATGCGCCCAGCCATTTTAACTTGTTAATTCTCGACTTTTTGGTTGGCGGGGCCCCGTGGCGAAAACACGAATGGCACAAATCAGACACCATACTCTGTAGATTTCGTCGTGTTATAATTTTATAATATAATTATAATCCTTTAATGATTTCAAGGACGGAAAAAAGCAGCAATAGAAATGTAATTATATAACCCGTATGTGGACATAGATAACTGTAGCTCGATAAATATACACATACAACGCAATCTTAATAATGTCCATTCAATATAACTTTAAAATAATATTTCATATATTTGTGTTATTTGATTTTGTTTCATGTATCAAATTAAAGATTCCATTTATAAATATAATATTAACAGATAATGAAATGTACAAATAGGTCAGTAAATAAAATAGGTACAACAACATAACAATTATATTGAGTCGTTTGGCAGCTCTTGTCAATGGCAACTTACTTTTACTTAGTTGTCAATAATTCAGATTAATGGGAGATAAATTTCAAATGATACGAGCGACAAAATTAACTGAAATCTAGGATATTTTTTATAAAGACGTTCTCTAATCTACGGCATTACATTTGAAGGTCACAAGAGATGTAACTAATCATATCTTAGGACTGTCATCGAATAACAATTTGATTTATGAAGCATTTATATCCTGCAATATTTTATTTAAATATTTCACTGAATCTTGGAGTGAATGAGAAAAAGCTGTAAAACTGGCCTTTAACTAGCCTTTGCTTATCTTTATTTGCACTATTCTTAATATGGCAACATGTGATTGTTTTAACAAGATTCACAGAAGGTAAACGGATGTATCTCATTTGAATGTTGCAAACTAAAAGTTGCCAATTTTATGTTACGAATGACGATTTGTTAGTATTTGATTTATGTTCTTTTTCTTATGGGATTTCCCCTTATTTAAAATGTCTGTTTAACGTCCCACCAACGCAGGTTTCTTAAACTCAAGTTTATCAAAGGCACATAACACGAAATGTATGTCGGACAGACGACAAATTGTGTTTCTTTTCACGAGAAGCATGGTAGGTGCAATAATTTCATTTTGTAATATATAACCTTGATATTACTTATATTTTCCGAAACAAGATCATTTAAATTTTGTAAATATATCCTCGAAATGTGGCAAACGTGTAACATCAAGACTGTACATATTTTGCATGCTCATAAGACATCATCTGAATCTTTCTAGTGAGTCCTGTATGATATCTTGCGAGATCACTTAGTGATTAAAACGAAGCTGTGTCACTTCCGGCGAAATCATTTGGTATTATTCAGGTTTTAATTATTTAATTGTGATTATGGACATAAAGATAACTGATAATAGACATTAAAGTTTATTAAAACAAAAAACGATTATGTTACTAAATAAATGTTATCAAATATCTTAGATGCTCTGTTTTACCCTTGCACTATCGAATTTCTATTTATTTCACCAATAATAAAATGTAACCATGATTTTTAGTATTTGCACCATGTGATCTTCAATATAAATCTTTCTTTAATTTCATGCTATATTTTGAGCTTAGGTTTCATATTTGAAGTATAAACCTTCCATTTCATATTATTATTATTATTATTATTGTACTTTCATAGTCTCATATTCATTGTCAGAGTCCTCGATACTCGAAAAAAGTCACACACATTTTAATATTAAACTCGCAACAGGACATACAATGTCGTTGCATAAAATCATACAGTCATTATGTATCACCGCCGTTTTACCCACAATAATTATTTGCCAATATGTGTCCCTCGATGTTACTGGCAATATATGTTTGTTTAACATACTTCATATTTGAAGTCAAATTTTGTTAATTATTTGTCAATATGTGTTCTTCGATGTTACTGGCAATATATGTTTTGTTTAACATACTGATTTGCTTGACACTGAAAGTGCATGTTTAAGGTTTGAATGTTTTGTTTGTCAATGAATACAATATGACAAAGCCTATATTTATTCAGCAGGTTTACCCTGCGCTATTACTCCGTCATTAATAATATATAAATAAATTGTTATTTACATCATTAGAAACATTACTTACTCTCGTTGTTCAGCTCGTTGATAAAAAATTGATACAAAACTTCTCGATTTTACATACTTAATTATTATCATTATTTATAAAGGGCAATAAATTTGAAATATGATGATTGAAATAAAATATATAACTTCCCTTGCCAAAAACTAGGACATGCTATGTATAAATGTTTACGAGGAATGGAGTGAATGTTATCTGGGCCGAACAAATGTGGGTCAGTTTTGAATAGATATATGCGCCGGTATTGACAAATACACAGTTTATTTGGATTTAATAATTATTTGAAATAATGCACGGAAGGGCACCTGAGGTTTTCCTTCACCAGTAAAGCTGGAACGTCGCGATATGACCTATACTGTGTCGATGTGACGTAAAACCCAAAACAAACAAACAAACAATTTGTATTTTAAGGAGCAATTGTCTGTGCTTTAAACAGATGCGCTGTTCTTGAACAATTTTATCTTATAACTTACCTATACTTACAGAATAATGGTAGATAAATCTTGAATGAACGATACAGGCGACAAAATAAACTTGAATTTAGGACATGCATATTTATAGACGTTTTCCACGAAAGGAATAAGATTATCGTCTTTAAAATAAATCATCAAGTATATTTATAATTATAAACTGAAAAATAAATACATCTTACTACAATCTAAAAAAAGCTTTTCTTTTCAATTTGGACCATATCAGCATAGGAAATTGTTAAATTGATTCACGGCTCCAATTTAAAAATACTTACCTATGAATAAAATGTTTTTATTTAAAACTACATCTTATAAATTTTAAGTGGACACAAAGAAATTAGAAAATTATCTGAAACCCGTTGAGGAATAATAAAATCAACGCAAGAATTTACCATTTGAATTCACAAAACTTTCATAGCATAATGCACGTTTGGAAAACAAAACTTTCATAGGCAAGGAGTTGCTGTTTTCTAAATTTTGACTTAATAGGTAATTCATTTTACTTGCAGTTAATTATATTTTCTGAACTGAGTTCACGACATTCGTTAAGATACAATGTATGCTGTAAATGTGCTACAAGTGTAATATCAATATTGTATGTTTTCTTGCAAGCTATTTCCCCTGAATCTTACTTTTTAGATAAATATATATGAAATCTTTCGAGATCACTTAGTGACTAAAACGGAGCAGTATCACTTCCGATGAAATCATTTGTATAATTGAGGTTTTGATAATTTCAAATGTGAATATGAACAAACGATATCGTCTAGATAAATTATCATATATAACTATAAAGAAATTAAACTTTATTGAAACAAATAGCGATTGAGTTTTGAAATAATTGCGGAAGAAGCTTGCAAGATAGAATTCGCATTTATATGCTAAATTTGCAAGAAATCATGCAGTCATGTTAAAAGTTTAGCTGTTCTGTGCTTCCCTGATTTCTTTCACACATTACAATATATTACCAATGAATTTGCACCATGTGATTTCAATATTTTATTTGGATATAGTAATATCTGTTGAGCATATTTGTCAAATTCATGCTGTACTCAATATAGTCTTTATATTGTAAGAGTTCTAGAAACTAACAAGAAGTCATACACATTTATTTATAAATTATTGCAAGACGGCAAGACGCCAGGCAGTGGCGTTGCAAGAAATTTTACAGTCATGATCTAAGACTTTACTCTGAATTATAATGATTTGGCAATATGTTACCCTCGATGCTAATGAAAATATATCTTTGTTTACCATACTGATTTCTTGACGCTCAAAGTTCATGTTTAAGGTCAATAAATACAATTTGACAGATCAAAACATTGTTTAGCATGTTTCCTATCAGTGATTCGCTGTGTTATAATTTCATCAGAAATAGTCATAATATAAATCAATTGTTATAATTCATATCATTAAAAAACAAATTTACTTACACTTGAGCATATTTCCAGATGAGAATTTGTGTAACATCCAAATGAAATACAGTTTGCATAACCTCTCTATACTATTATCATCATTTATAAAGGGAGATGACTTTTAAATTAATAAGCGACATAATAAAAAGTATAACTACCCTTGTGCAAAAACTAGAACATGCTATTTATAAACGTTTTCGGAGAAAGGAAGTATAATTAATCTATGCCGAAAACTTGTAGGTCAGTTTCAAAAAGAACATCCAATTAATTCATTTTAATCGTGTAAAGGTCGGATAATAATATAGATACAATAAATAACTGCAAAAGGTAAGAAAAGGTCTTTCTCTTTCTTAATATTTGTTTCCTCGCGTTTTTACATAAACTATCGGTGAAAAAATAAGGAAATAAATCATACCATTTTTTCTTTATTGTATATTATTAGCTTACATTTGTGAGACGCATAACTGAATTGGATTAATAATTATAATGTTACTATGCGATATGTAAAACTTATAACTTACTTTTTGACGTAGTTTTTTTTCTTGATAAAGGGAGTCTACCTTGTACTGGAAAGCTTTATAAATAGTGTGAAACTGCGTCCCTTTAAGAAAGCGTATGTTGTATTGTTGTTATTTGGCTATATTAGATACTAGTATTCACAGTCATACTATTGTCACTAGAATCATGATTCTTTTAATGTGTACGTTTATTACTGAATTATTATCGATGTTCATTAAAGAGTTTAATTGATTTATTGATTGTTGATACTTTAATGAATACGATTAATATCGGTTAACACAACAAATTTGTCCAATTAAATTTTAATATATATGCATAAGAAATAGAATTATCTGTTTGCAGCGTAAAGCAGATAATGTTTTTTTAATATCAAAAATTAAGGTCACAAGTCAAATGAGATATTTCTTTTTCATTGGAAAATTAAAATGCTACACAGCGATCGATTAAGCAATACACATAAATTGTTTTTCATTTGTGGTTTATTAAGATGTAAATAAAATTTCGATATGCGCCAAATTGAATAATATAACCTTTTAAGTAGAAAGGAAGATAGTGATAAAAACTTCTATTTTCAGTATTCCAGGAATGGCCGTTTCAGGATGTAAACAAATAGACCTGCTAGGATCAGTAGCAGCAGGATCAACGGAAGACTTCGATCACTGTTGTGAGCCATGTCTTACCACAGGTCAACGTATAGAAGCTCACGGGTTTTGTGCCACTTGTCAAGAATACCTTTGTAAAACTTGCCACGATGTCCACAGAAAAACAAAAGTCTTACGAAATCATCAAATTTTGCAGAGTAATGATTTTGATAAGATTCAAACTACAAGAAAATCAAACAATGAATGCACTGAAATGTGTCAAGTTCACAAAAAAGAAATAATCAAATTTTATTGCCCATCACACCATGCACTCGGATGCAATGATTGCATAACTTTAGGCCATAGAACATGTAAAGTTGATTACATACCTGAAAAATGCGAAGGTGTCGCAGATTGGAAGGAGTTCGATGACGTCATGAAGAAGCTCGGCGAAAAATTAAAAGAAGCATCAGAAATTTCGAAGAAGGCTACACGCAGTAGAAGCAACATAATTGATAACAATAAAGAAATCATCAAGGCCATCTCTGAATTCCGAAAAGAAATAAACGACCGCATAGATCTGATGCAAAAAGATGCTTTAAATAATGCCGAGGAAATAAAGTCCAACACCAACAAAATTATTCAACACGTCCTTGATACATGTGAAAATATGATATCCGGTATAAAATGCTTGCAATCAAGTCTACATGCAAGCAGATCAACTCATCAAGACAGTCAACTCTACATTGGCATGAAAAAGGCTGAATCTACGCTGAAATCAGATGAATTATTTGACGCAGAACAAACATTATTGCATACCAATATTCACTACTCATTTCAACGAAATTCTGAACTGGAAACATTGTTGCGTGCGAAAATGGTATTTGGTGAGGTTGTCGATAATTCTCGTCATGAACCTTCAAAGGTGACAAAAACTGTTGATCATCTGATTTGGAAAGAAAATATTAATGTTAAAACTTCATCAGAAAAGGCAAATTGTGATATTTCAGGATGCGCAGTTCTCAACACAAATAAACTAGTTCTAGCTGATTACCTTAACAATAAGATAAAATTGATATCTATAGAGAACAGGCTTGTACAAGAAGAGAAAACTCTAGACTCAAACCCATTTGATATTGCTGTAATGTCTCAGGATCAGTTTGCAATAACAATGCCGGTAAAGAAAGAAATAGTTGTCATGAAAACAGACGATAAGCTATCATGTATCCGCAGTATTAAAGTTGGTAAGAAATGCTATGGTATAGACTTTAATCATGGCCGTCTTTATGTTGCTTGTGTGTATCCTCCTAGTGTTATTGTACTGAACACACAAGGTGATATCCTGAATGACATCCCTCTGAACTTTCTTTCAAATTACTTTATCCCGTATATTGCTGTGAGAAAGGATTCCAAACTTCTGTACATCAGTGACCGTGGTAAAAAAAGTGTCTTGAGTGTATCATTACAGGGGGAACTTACAGCTACATATAAACATACATATCTTACAAGACCAAAAGGAATGTTGATGTTAGATGATGGGTCATTACTTGTCTGCTGTTATAATGATGGAACAATTCATAAAGTCAAAGGAGACTTGAAGCATGGCAAGATAATGTATAAAGGTGAAGATGGAGATCTTCTTCAATCAATATGCCACAGTTCACGCTATGCTGAGATCTATGTTGGTAGCATTGGAGCCCAGTTGAAAGTTTTGAACACACAATGAACACTGTATTCATTTTTCATTGATTTGTAAACGGAAGAGTGCATACAATTATGTGGTAATTGTTCTTTATTATAGAAAAGGTACAATTATAAAAGAACTTACAGGACTTTAAGACATTTATTCCATTATTACATTTAAACTTGTAAATTATGAATCATATCTTGAACAAACTTATTTCACATTGATTTCAATGATTTTAGGTTAAACATATTTATGTAAGCATGTGCCTTAAAAAAATACATGTACTGTAATAATAATAATAATAATAATAATAATAATAATAATAATAATAATAAAAATAATAATAATAATAATAATTATTATTATTATTATTATTATTATTATTATATCAAATTAAACTCAAATATCTATGGCAAACGATGATATTTGAGCAAATTGTTAGCTCTACAAAATGATAATATTTTATATTTAAAAAGTTATATTCCCTCGTTAAATGTTTTGTATATAATACGGATGAAGGCTTTTATAACCAAGACAGCTATGTGAGGTAAGGTTATATTTTAAATATCTTAAACTTGACCATATATCTTGTCAAATGGCCTGATAAGGAATATATTTTACAGCTACAGCACAATTAATTTATTTAAAATAAAACAACTGAACATTGTTTACATATTAACAGTAGTCATGTATATAGATAAAATATACGTTACGATTACAAGTGCGTAGTACTATGTAAAAAATATTTTATATTGCTGCAAGCATCACCGATTAGCTTTCTTTACAGACATATTTCACGAAAAAGAACGAAATCAAAGTAGTAAGGTGTAAGTAGCCTATGTGCTGAACCAATGATCAGGGTATTAAAGATTTGTTTGTATAGTGTGATACAATAAATTATAGTAGTGCTTATATTTATATGCAAGATATGTATACATGTAAATATGACTGTAACAGGTAAATTATTGTCTGAATAAAATACCACTTAGCTGTTAGCTGTTTCCTAATATACTTATGAACTGAAGAAAATAAAATATGTAAAAATTGTGATTTTTTTAAACGGGATTGTTGTATATTCCAAAACTAATAGCTCAATAAATTCAAAATTGTTGTTATTTCCTTAAGTCCGTAAAACTTCCGTGTTACTTTATGAATTTAACTCTTTCACTACCAAAGAGACGGCTTAAGCCGTCCCTGTTATTTTCGGCGTATTTGCCATATGGACGGCTTTAGCCGTTTGTATAATAATAATAGTAACAATAATAAATTAATAATAATAATAATAAATATAAAGAAAATTATACCATAGACAATAATTATTATTATACTAACAGATTTGGAAACATATATAATTATTATAATACTAATAACAAATAATAATAATTATATTAATTAATAATATAGTAATTTCTTAGAAAATCCTCTGGCAAATAGGTGAACAATAAAACAATAACCCTTTGGCAGCGAAAGGGTTAAAAGGAATATTCAACGAAAACTAAGAAATCTAACACTTTTAGGTAAAAGGGCAATATCTATCAATTGGTATATATACGTTATCGTTAGTTCTTAGATAATATTTTATTTGTGTCATAGTTTGGGGACCTTTCTGTTGAAAATGTGTCCGAGTCAAATCGTATACATATTCATGCATTGCGTTCATTGGAGTGCAGCTATTAGTAACCCGGACTCCAGAGCATGCCCACTGATTGGCTCATTTTGCTAGGGTTTACTTATTTTGAAGAAAGCGACAAAAAATTTCATATTTAGATGCTGGTTCATTGGTTACTTTATTCTGGGGTTTCATATTGTGACAGCAGGGAACGTGTGTTTTACGTTTAACTATGATATAAAAGAGAAAGAACAAATCAAATAGCATCGTGTTTCGATACTCTTTCTTTTACTTATTACATAAGAGGTTGTTTTGTACAAAACAAGCATGTAAACATATTCATTTTTCCAATTTATAAATGTTTTTACGTGTTTAAAAATGAAGGAAAAGAACTGATATATTATGCAAAATCACACTGGATCCATTAGAATAACATAAACAAAACATAATCAAATAAATCATACATGGTAAGAGGGAAAATTGAATTTACATGTATGTTCAAATATATAATATCCGGTTGCAATTATAACAGCCGCTGGTTATTTGAAAGAATCGGCTTTCCTGGATAAGTTTCAAGTAATAATTATGAATATATTATGAATTTCTCCGCAATTTACCGACTATCTATCTTGATGTCTAATTAATGCCCTGACAAGTATTGTAAAAATCATACTAATAACCATCAGGCATCAGGAGCACCGCGCTATTAGGACCGTTACCCTGTTGAAACCCAATGAGATCATCCTTTGACACCAGTAAAGAGCCAGGCCAGCCTGCTAATCCATACTGTTTGTAAACTAACATTATATTTTTATCATAGAATTTGAAAAAAAATTATCACTACATGGAAGAAAAAATAGTCCAATTCAGAAACTGAACAGTTTAAAAGTCACGTGGTAAATACAAAGTCATTCAGTGTTTTTTGCATAACATAAGATTAATCGTTATTGATTGGGTCATTAATTGATTTGACTAATTGATTGGTAAGTGTATATTCAGGCTCACAGACATGTACATAATATTCTGATCAGATTATTTTACACACAATTTTTATTTTCATGTCATAAATATTATAAGTAATAAATAGGACATTTTCTAATCATGTCTAGTACAATATGTAGTTGATTTTAACAATTCCTATTGTGAATTGTTTAAGAATAAGTTTCGTTCCAAATAATACGAAAGTAAAGTTAATGATCATATTGAATTCAAAAAGTGCATCCTTGAAATATGTCATGATGTGCTACCGTCATTTAACGCATCCACAAATTTGCTCTAAAGATTTAAATTTCCAAGATTTAAAATGTCGTCAGGTATTTTAATTTGATATATAAAATCCTCTGTGCTATATATCAGCACATCTGTTTTCTAGCTCTGTCAAAACACTGCTTTTGTTATTTCATAAATCACATTCTTTCTTTTTTCTCTTTTTTTCATCTTAATTAGTAACAGGAAAAATCAAAACCATAGTTTCCATGTTGACGTGACGTGTTTCCATGACGATTATTCTAGTCGTTTCCTGTAACAACAGGTCTTGGTAAACGAACAGGCTGGACTTGGGAGGTTTCATTTAAAAATGATTGCTTTCTCCAAATCCTTTGCTGGATTCTACGGTCTTGGCTTTTGTTTCTGGTATCCTGTAAACACCACTGATTGTTGACAGATATGGCACTTGTGTTAGGCTTTGCTGTTAATAATAATATAGGAAAATTGTTTAGTAATTGAAATTGATATATGAATCTTTGAATAAACTCAATTTTCATATGATATTCTTGTTCTTATTGCTTCCGGGGGAGCACAACTTTTACGGATTTCCGAAACATATCATTAACTTACACTTATTGTTGCAATCACTTTTCATGAAATCTCAAAAATCTACTATACTATCGAAAGAATAACAAAGGATCAAAAATATGTTTTATGTTTTGATTTATGTATATTCTTTCCATATTCTATTCCAAACTATTGATGTAGTGGAAGTCACGGGATATAGAATACTAGCCGACCAATCATAAATAAAGTTACATTAAATAATAAATTAAATCATTAAAGTCAACATACATTTTTTTCTGACAAATAAAAAAGCATATTCTTAGCATTGTAATTAGTATTTACAAGCTTTAGAAAGAACATAATAATGTTGGAAACAGGCAAACAACTCATGTGTTTTCCGTCCGCTTGTTAAGGGTTTGGGTGCGCGAAAAAAGGACTTGGATAATTTACCAAATGACAAATTTTAGTTTGGTTCAATAATAAGACAGTTATTGTATGAAGTATCAATGAGTATCGAAGTCTATGGACCTGACTTATGAGATATAACCACAGTGGAAAGGTCTGCAATGGGCACATATTCCATTAGTATTTCAACTCTTGATAAAACAATAGAAATGTGCCACTTGAAATTTCGTATAATATGCTGTTGGAAAAAATGTTTATATTTTTCAAGGTGATTTAGAATGACCATTTATCTGATGACATAAAATAAAAATATGTTTGTTCGAGAACATTTTATTATATATCTGCTATAAAAATAAATATATGTAATATAGGATCATGTATGTCAAACTTACCAACAACTAAAGTACATGTATTTCATGGTTTGTTATTATGTCCAATACTAAACACTATCAATGTAATTATTCATTGTAGTACAGACTTTCAATTTTACCGCAGGCAGGCGACCAATTTTTTTTGTAAATGTGTATTATTAAACATTAACCTATTTAATGATCAACATAATGTTTTTTGTTTTTTTTCAACAAAAAACGAGGCATTTCTCTAAATCACCGATCGCTCCGACCTTTCGCTTTACAAGATGTCTACACCTTGTCAAGTTTCTAACATGTCACATATAGATTAGCTAAAAATGGCCCTTTCAACATATAATCAGGCAATTTTACTGAAACGTCACAGAATTTATACCTTTATCTAAGAAAATCATGTTTCTATAAAATACCTGGATGAGGTAAAAACAATAGAGTGAATGAAATGTGTACATCCTTTTAAAATAAATGGAAATGTTAGAAAAATTAGCTTCAAATTATTCACTAACATTTGAAATCCTTATTGATTCGCTCATTTGATCATTTGAAAAACAGTGAATTTTTTGTTTATTTTTCTGTGTGTAAATTTAGGTTTTCAGGTGGAGGGGATCCATTTTCAATGACTTTTCCAGCCAAAAAAAAAGTAATAATTGTATTCTTTATATCAAGGATTGTTTATGCAATTAATTCATATCAAGTGAAAGAAAATAATGTTTTGGTAACTTTTTCTCTAGAAAATATAAAGTTTAAAACAGTCAGCAATTTATAACAGACTTTCTTCTTAGAGTTAAAAGGATATAAAAATGTTACTATGTAATCATTTGTCTCTACGTGCCCCAAATGTTTTATCTATTTAATAAATTAATTGATTGTATCCTCACATTTAGAAACACCTGACCTCCCCTATTTTTTTACTTTGGCATTGTTTTGCTAACCTAAGTATTTTACAATTCAGAGTGCAAACCACGAATCTAACTTCTCCCTAATATAATGCATTATTGAAATTAGACTGGTTAGACGACAGATTAAGTAAATTTTATTAAGTTAGTACACATTAACTAAAATTAGAATTAAAGTTAGCAGAAATTTGAAAAATACTACAATGTGATTGGAAAAAAATAATGTTGATCATTAAATGCAGTAACAGTTTTCTATTTGTTGTTAAAAGTAGTGTTTTATAAATGTCACGTGACGTCTATTTTCTATAATATGTGACAAAGAATTAATTATCAAAAGCTGAGCAGTCTTATTTCCAGAGCATCACTTTGAATTGATTTACTGAATTTAGTTTAAAAGCGCAAATAATAAATACATAAAAATCGACCATTGCTCAAACCTTTAAATCTTATTCATTGAGATTAGATTTTTTTTTTTACTGAATAGATGAATTACATTTTATAATTGTGCGTAATAAATTACCATCATTTAAAATAAAACATATTATCAGGCTTTGAAATAATATTTATCAATGTTCCAGAAGGATCAATGATAACCACAATTTAACACATTAGTCAAGGTTTTTTTTTAATTCAAGTTTTATAATTTTTATTTTAAGTTTGAAATTATGCTCAAACAAGTGCCCGATGCTAGGGGCGGTGTACTGTAGCTTGCACTCACTCTTTTCCCTGAATGAGCACTGTTTAAACAAACTTGCAGCGATGTCATGGGGCGTTCTTTCTAGTTTCCAGAACATTTATTAATTTTGATTTGTACAAAGTGGTTTATTATTCATTTAATTACTATACTACATAACAAAGGCTTATGTATCATGTACAGACTCAATCTAACCGGGTCTGCAATTCTCTTGTTATTTTGTTGTGATTAATGCTTCCGAGGGAGCACTTTGTTTCCAGATTTCTATACTTCACATCAGGTGTCAAGTGTGTGCTGTGTGGCAGCTGTAAAAAGTTGCCCCGTACTTCACTTCATTGCTGTTATATTTTTCTGGTCCTTCGGGATCATTGATACCAGCACTATTAAGTGTTGAGGATTGAGTACCGCTCAAGCCGGTGCTAGGGGGCACGAGGGATGTTGCACGGTTTCATAATCCCTCATGTACAGACTCAATCAAACCAAGTATGCAATTCTCTTGTTTCTCTCTAATTTTGTTGTGATTAATGTTTCCAAGGGATCACTTTGTCTCCAGATTTTTACACTATTTTTCATCGAGTTTCAAGTTTTAATAATCATCATTTTTTTCATAGGGCTTTATTCTACGCGTAACTAGTAGTTAGCTTGATGTTTTATACGCAATTAAGTTTTAAACTGTTCACTATTAACCACCAAGTATTAAATTTTGATGGAATTGTTAAACTGTTATCCACTTTATTTGAAGAAAATTGTTTGCAAAAATTGATCTATGTTTTAGTTTTGACATTAAATTAAGCTTTAAAAAATGTAACATTTGAATAATCTTCAAGCACATTTTTTGAAACAGAATGTTTTAGTATTGAAAGTAATTAATCATGAACATTTGTACGATGAATAATGATATTTTGTTTTAGAATAATTTATAACCTGTTATATAATGATATGCTATATCTGACCATGTATCTCAAACTTACTAGAACATCATTATACATGTATATTTATATTCTGGTTTAGTAGCAGGTATGATACAAATTATTGGTAGTGGTGTTGGTAGTTTTCATACCAGATCAGAACAGAAAGCAAAATTGAATTTACCAGCGCATAGTCAGTCACAGCATCGTTCATTGGCAAGCTGTCAACAAGTATTAGTTGCCTTCACTTGCACAAGGAACTGACAACTTCTGTTCATACTTGAGCGGAGACACAGTACGAATGACCATAGAAAGGACTTCATGATCAATCACAACAAAAAAGATCTGCACCGCTCGGGCATCGAACCAGGATCGCCCGATTCACAGTCCAACGCTCTCCCTTTTGAGCTAACCAGCTAGACGGCTTATAATACTTGATACTATCGAAATGATTATTTATGGTATTACAGACATTTCATTATGGATCAGTTCACTTGAACGGGTTTAACTTATTGTACTTTGTCATATATTTGATAAAATTGTTTAAATTTAATTGCAAAATTATCATAGCTAGCACAGAAGCGGTGGGCCCATCGCAGCCACGGTGAATTGTTCGTTTCAGAATCGGTATACGAAAATGGCAGTGTGCTGTTGCCGGTAATTAAGTTTATGACTGAATCGAACTTTTTGTTTTGATATAATAGAAAAGCAGAACCAAGAACAACAAAAAACATTTATTATATGGCCATTAATTACTGAATATAACTTATCTTTAACTTATCTTTAAACTGGCCTTTTAATATGATATTCTTATTATTACCTTTCATATCTTTGTGATATATTTGATTTTTTTTGTATATCAATATACCAACTACATTCAAGGACCTTCATGTCAAAATGCTTTTTTAAGTTCCCAAAATATTTTTATTTTTGTTTTCCGTGTATAATTTCAAACAGTTGCTCATTGTTCTTTTATATGAGCCACCTTGTGCTTCTGTTGCGGTTTGGCAATTAATATAGCTTTAGTGATTTAGAATTTAGGTATGGAAATCTTTATACTACTTTAATTACATTTAAGGCAAAAAAACAACAACAAAAAAGCACATTCTTTCTGCAGATGATAAGCTTGTTACATGGTCTTAGCCATTATTTGAATATTACTGAACTCACATTTGTTTCTGAGGTATTATGTGCCTTCAATTAATATCAATTTTATACAGCTTTTGAAATGTACAAATTGTACAAATCAGTCAATAGATAAACTGTTATAAATCGACAAAAGCATAATGTACACTGAACAGCTTTTTTTTAATATACACTTTACTTTGTGTATCGTTAACGGGTTTAAACATGCTAAAACGATAACCCATTTACTCAATTTAGGAGTAAAACATTTCATAAATCAAGTAACGTAACGTCAGGGGATGCAACTGGTAATGTATTTTGGGACTGTTATCTGAACAGTTTGATTCAATCTGAACAGTTTGATTCATGAAACATTTTACATCCTGCCATATAACAATTAAATATTCACAGAATATTCTTTGAGCATATGAGGTATGGCTGTTTAATCGGCCTTTAATTATCACAGGCCCTATCATTAAAATACTTTGCTGAATCTTTATTTGCGCTATTCTTAATATGACAGCATATGAATGAATTTACAATATACACAGTAGATAAACGGATTAACGAGATGTCCTCATTCGGATGTTGCAAACAA